ATAGCGCGTTGTATATTACCGTAATCATCTGGTTTGAGGTAGCAAGCTAGTTGGTGGTCTAATTCCTGTTTGAGTTTTTGTAAGTAGTCCAGTTCTTGATATCTGGAATTCAGGGTTGCTTTTAGGAGTTTTTTCTGCATGTTTTGGATAATACCTGATGATGACAAAAATCTTGTCGAAACGTTGTACATTTGCTGTTATGTTAAACTTATATTAAAGTTTTTTTCATAACCCATTCAAGCCGTCTCCAGCCATTATTACCCCTCCCCAATTCTTCCCAATACCCCCTCCATCCCAGGTGCCATTCTAGTAGCCCTCCTCTGAACCCCTTCCAAAATTCGATGTCTTTCCTAAAGTAAGGAGCTCAAGATTGAACATAATACTCCAAATATGGCCTTACCAATGACCTATACAACGAAATTATAACCTCTTTAGACTTGTATAAAACATTTTTGTAGATACAACCTAAGATCCTATTTGCCATACCAGTAGCAACAGCACACTGTTTGGATGGCTTAAGAGGCTGATCAACCACTACACCAAGATCATTTTCCTTTCATAACGCTGTTAAGGCTATTCCCATCCAAATTATAATTATAATTCAAGTTATAATAATCCACATACATTATCTTGCATTTATTATAATTAAAACCCATCTGCCATTATTCGTCCAACTCACTAAGTGATCTAAATTCTTTTGAAAAGCAGCAGCATCCTCCTCACAGTCAGCCAAACCCAATACTTTAATATCATCAGCATATTTAAGTAATTTATTGACCACCCTTCAGCTATGTCATTGATGTAAATCAAAAAGAGCAAAGGTCCTAAGACTGAGCCCTGAGGTACTGCACTTGTGACATTAATCCAGTTTGACTGAACTCCATTTATAACAAACATCTGCTTTCTTTCATCCAGCCACTCTTCTATTCAATTAGGTAACTTATCCCCCATACTTATGGAGATTTTTTACAAGCTTTTTATGTGGCACTCTGTCAAATACTTTCTGAAAATCCAGATACACTAAATCTACACCCTTATCCTCATCTACATAAGCAGTAACATTTCAAAGAATGTCAAAAGATTTCTAAGGCAAGATTTAAACTTATTGGAACTATGTTAACTATCCAATACAATTCTAAATTTTGTTGAATGGCTTTGCAAAGCATCTTTTATCAGACTTTCAAAAACTTTTCCCACAGCTGATATAAGACTAAAGGTCTATATTTACTTTGATATTTTTTATCAACTCCTTTAAAAACAGGAATAACATTAGCCAACTTTCAATCCTCTAGCATCTGCCCACTATTCAAGGACTCACAAAAAATAGTAGCAACTGCTCACATTTCCAATCCTTAACCTCCTGCAAAAACCCTTGGGGAAATAACATCTGTCCAAAGAGTCTTATCTTTCTTTAAACCTTCCAATTTTTTTCTTAACAAGTTCAGATGTGACCATCTTGTTCGATCTGGTTTCAATCTATTAACTGTTCAAGCTGAGAAATAATGCTTAAGTAAAATGCATTAGTAAAAACTGAAAAATAAGCAGAATTTCATAACCATGCCATCTCATAATCATCAGATACGAGCCTTCCTTTATCATCTCTCAAGGATCCTACCCCCATCCTAACATTTTGTTTACCCTTAATGTATTTTTAAAGAAATCCTTACTGCTAATTTTTACATTTTCAGCCAACCTTTTCTCATACATCTCTTTGATGTCCTAATTTCCTGTTTTACCAATTTTCTATAATTTTGTATAATCTTCTAAATCTTCTATCATACCAGTCAATATAAATGTTTTAAATTTGTGATCCTATTCCTTAACTTTATCTCTTATACCCTTTGTGCGCCAACCTGTTTTTTACTTGCAGCTACCCGTTTCTTTCTATAATGAATATGTTTATCTTGAATATTTAAACATTTATCTTTATAATTTTTCCACATTTGATCAGTGTTTCGAAATAACTCAACTGTCCAATTCATAACAGATAGCCCCCAGTGACACAGCGGTATGTTTGCGGACTTACAACGCTAGAAACCGGGTTTCGATACCGTGATGGGCAGAGTACAGATAACCCATTGTGTGTCTTTGTGCTTAACTTCAAAACAAACAAACATAACAGATAATTCTTGTCGCATCCCTTCAATACTTGCTTTTCTTGAAATTTGTAACCAAAATATCATTATTCCTGATATCCATATGCAGCAAGACATCGAACCTAACAGAGCAATGATCACTTGCACCCCTATGTTCCCCAATTTCCACACTCTCAACCATTTCTATATTAGAAAGTAACAACAAATCTAAAATAGCATTGATTCTAGTAGGTTACTTTTGGGTGATGACCTCGCAGCTCCACCAACTCCAATGCTTTTGTTAAAATATTACTCCTTGTGGCTGACGATATTACTTGAAATATGAGAAAAACCGGCACGTCGTTATGTCCCCTTACCTCTCCTCCACTATGACTCAGAGGTAAGTCTACAGACTTACAAAGTTAAATATCGGGTTTCAATACTCGTGACTGGCAGAGCAGGGATAACCTAACGTCTCCTTGCTGATGATGTATAACGAATATAATTCCTTAAACATATCATGGGACTAACTTTCTTGTCTACTGCAGATTGAGTAATGATGATAAATCCCCTTCATCTGGAATCGTTCTTTATTCCATGGATTGTAATATTTGTTTGTTTGTTTTCGAATTTCGCGCAAAGCTACACGAGGGCTATCTGCTCTAGCCGTCCCTAATTTAGCAGTGTAAGACTAGAGGTAAGGCAGCTAGTCATCACCACCCACCGCCAACTCTTGGGCTACTCTTTTACCAACGAATAGTGGGATTGACCGGGACATTATAACGCCCCCAAGGCTGAAAGGGTGAGCATGTTTGGTGGGACGGGGATTCGAACCCGCTACCCGCAGATTACGAGTCGAGCGCCTTATCCACCTGGCCATTTTAGTTATTTATTCAATATGATGTTCTCACCCCCTTCCACTTATTACAATTACTTTCTGGATAATCTCTTTAGTTTTGTTTTACCTTTGTCTTAATACATACACTACAAGTGTTTTTATTTTTCCTTTTGATTCTTATAGCAACACCCCTACACACAATAATGCAATGACCCAAACATGGCCATATTCCTCGTTTTCTGAAAAACACGAAAGTAAATTTTCTGTTTCGAAAATCATAGATGGCGTTTCAGGAATAATAATCATCATCTTATTAGTAATTAATTCTGAAACCTTGACTAATATCATTAATTATCAGAGTTTCTTAAGAAGTGTGTGTGATTCTAGTTGTTTTCAATATTTTTTTTTTATGGAGCTGTATT